AAGCAGCATCAGAGGAGCAGGAAGGCTGACGTTTCAGGCCTAGACCCGTCTTCAGAAATCTCTGAAGAGATCTCTGAACATTTCTGAAGAAGGGTCTAGGCCCGAAACGTCAGCCTTCCTGCTCCTCTGATGCTGCTTGGCCTGCTGTGTTCATCCAGCTCTACACCTTGTTATCTCAGTTCCTACTCTCTCTAACTGATTATTTTGTTCTCTTCCAATCAGACTGTCCCACGTTGATGATGATTCAACAATAGAAAACTGCAAATGTTGCATTTACCAATTAATATTTGATTGTCAGTATCTCAATGGTAATATTACACTAAGTCATCACCACACAGTTATTCGTCTCCACCCTCAGAGTGAGTAGCTGCTGTGCTGTGAGAGTGAGAGGCTGCTGCACGCCGAATTACTATCTCCATCCTGCCACTAAGTAAATTACAAATAAAAGGGAGTAAAGGTCAGAAGAAAAGTAGGGACAACCAATCTCTGTCAGCTTCTAGTTGGCATTTCCTGAAGTCATTCAGCTGGATCATCAGTCCCTTTCAACCAAGGATTATGAGTCACAGGAAACATATCACCCTTAAGACATAGCAGAAGTAGGCCATTCAAGCCCAAGCCTGCTCTGCCATTGAAAGAGATAATGCCTTCTCTGATAATCCTCAACTCCACTTTCCTGCCTTTTCTCCATAACCTTTGAATTGCTTACTAATTAAAAATAAATCCAGCTCAGCTTTGAATATACTAAATAATTTTACCTCAACTGTCTTCTGCTAATGAATTCACAGATTCACTACCCTCAGAAGAAATTCCTCACTCTCTTAAACGTGTGACCCCTTAATCTGAGATTATGCCCACTGCTTCTAGACTCTCCTTCAAGATGAAACAACCTTTCCACATCTACCTTGTCAAGTCCCCCCATAAATTCCAATGAGTACAGGCCAAACCCACTCAACCTTTCCTCATAAAACTATTCCTCCATACCAATGCCTACAGGCCCTTCTCTTGATTACTTCCAATGCTAGTACAGCTTTCCTTAGGTAAGGAGCCCAAAATTGTTCATTGTATTCCAACCGTAGTACAATTAGTTTTAGCAAAACCTTCCTAGTTTATATACTCTTATTTCCTTTGGAATAAAAGGTCAACATTTCATCTGCCTTCCCGATTACCCACTGAACTAGGATGCTAGCTATTTGCAATTCCCAAATGACACAAATTGAATTTCAAAATTCCCTGGGAGATGCTAATTTTTCTTTCCCCATTAGCACCAGTTGAATCCGAAGAAGACAGTCGCAATCGTTTCAGGGACTTGATGCAGCGCAACCGTCTGATGGAACTGAGTCGATCCCAGGCCGAAGATATTGCTATCCTGAGAAACGAGTTGGAAAGACAACGCATGAAAAGCTTTCCAATCCTGGCGGAAACAGAGCAATACCCCTACATTTAAAGCCATTGGTTTGGACTAAGATAAATAGCAGAGTTAAATATGTAATTTTTCCATGAGACTTTAATGTAGAAAACACAATCGTTTGGCTGGATTAATTTAAAATTTGTATTCATAAAAAATAAATGTTTTTTCTCAGTGTTCAGCTGTCTCTGAATGTTGGCATAGAAGTAGCACTTGAATTATTCCACTTGTTTACTGAACCATACTACAAGAAACAGTAATATAAAAACCACAGCCTGGATTATATTGAAGTGTTCTGAAACATTAACTCTGTTTCCCTTTCCACACAGTTCTCGAGCCGCTGTATATTTCCAGTATTTATCTTTGTTTCAGGTTTGCAGAAACTGCAGCATTTTGCTCTGGTTTGGAATAGATTACAAATCTTTTTACTTTGCCTTTATTCCTCCTTTGCTGTCAATACCCACTTCCTCTTCTCAAAGCACTCGCACATTTTTTTGCATGTTTATTGTTCCATCCTTGACAGGATAAAAGAATTAGTCCAGGGAGCAAGGTGACAGAAAATTACAGTAGCATTAATGATGGCTGCAGACAGAGTGGATCAGCCCATGGTGTTGTATCCTTCCTCAATAGAGGAAATAGCAGCAAACAACTTCAGGAATTTAAAGACATCATGTAATCCAGCAGAGCAAAATCTTTACAAAAAAACAATGTCTTCTAGAAAATTGACTGCAAAGAATTGGCTAATGCATTGTTGCGAATAAGGCTGCTGATTCTCAGCACAGGAGTGATCATCTCATCCATCTATGAAATCTTCCTCATGTCTATTGTAATGCAGGAGTCTATCCTCTATTGCCAGACTGTCTATCAGCTGGGTCAAAGTCAGTTTTGAATCACTGCAAAGGGCCATTTGAAGTTCATACAGCAAGGCCTGGCTGCTCTTCCTCCATTTCTGAATCAGAGATCCTAGTTCTGCCAGGTTATTCTGGAATTTAAAAAGAAGAAATTGTTGGTGATTAATTTGAAATATACATGGTTAGAATCTAGCAGGTACATGCTCCAACCTGAGAAGGACTTATGAATGTTTTGAATTTGTGTAAATTTGTTTTTTAAATTTTGTCATTCTCAATCCAACCCCAAACACCCACACAGCAGATTAATGGGAACATAACCACTTGCAAACTCCCCTCCAAGTTACTCACAATCCTGACTTGAAACTATACCATCATTCCTTCAGTATCAAAATCCTGAAACTCCCTTCCTAACAACATTGTGGGTCCACAGATTACAATGGGCTGCAGCGGTTTGAGAAGACTAACCATCACCTTCTCAAGGACAACTGGGCACAGGCAATAAAAATTCTGACCCAGCCAGCGATATCCACATCCCACGAGTGAATATACAAAACGAATTGAACTGAATAAATTTATTGACACATAAACTCACATAGTACAGTGAAACATTTACAAACTCGCCACTTAGGTACCAAAGTACAGATTCTTAAGTACAAAGTCTTAGGGAACAAAGAAAAACAGCTTCTAGCATGGAAGTCAAAGGAAATGTCAGAAAAAAAATGAAGGACTGCTGGCAACCCACACTTTAAACTGAAACCAGGGAGAGAGGAAGGAAAGAAACAGAATCTGACTCGAGACAAGTCACCATCTCATATACTACAAAATGCAGAATATACAGGGAGGCAATTAGCAGTACCTTGGTGAGACAAGATTCTCTCAGTGTCCTGGAAAATTAATGTTGTAGGGACACAAGCACTAATACTAAAACTTTAGTGAAGCCCAGAACCCAGCATTGCATCACTGCAATTGTTGGTGATCAATCTCGAGCTGAGGGGTCAGAATTATATGGACCGTGACCCAGAATTGATATTAAGTGGTGTTAGATGTCTACCTTTGTTCTGTACATCTGAACCATTTTCAAACGACGAAGAAGTTCCTCTTTCTCTCTCACTTCTCTCTGTAATTGTTCTTTCTCCTCAAGAAGTTGCTGCTTTTCAGGGATCGGATTTGGGGACTTGGCAGGAGTCTGGATGTGGTGTTCAGTTGCATGCTGGACTCCCAGAGATGCCTCATTCCTGCCCACTGCACTTGTATCTGGCTGCTGATTCATCATCCTTTCGCAAAGATTTTCTGTTTCTGTAGTCACACCATTCTGTGCAGAACAAGTATCATTAGGGAGCTGGCTGTCACCAGCCTCAGTGCCAGGGTCTGCTTTTCCACCACCTTCACTCTGGCTGTCAATCTTCAACCGCTTTGGTACGATGAATGGGGAGTTAAAAGAACGCCGTGATTTCTTCAGCCGCTCTCGGAGATTGTTACTCAAAGGCTGTCAGAGTGAAACAACAAAATCAACAAGATTTGGCAGCTTGGGTTATAATCTGTTTAATTCCATAGAAATTGGTACAAAACAGAACGAATATGCTAAACTATACTTCAGTCAGTCACAACTCTGTGAGGAACATTTACACCTCAAGGCAGAAGCTCACTGGTTTAAGTCCTGCTGTAGAGGCTGAAGCTTAAAATCCAGCTTGATGTGCCAAGTGCGGGGGAGGGGGTAGGATGTGAACTGAGGGAGCGCTGCAATGGAAGAGCAGGCTTGAAGGGTCAAATGGCCTACTTCTGTTCCTAATTTGTATGTCTGCGTTAATCGTAAGGCACTAACATGCAAGGGTATAGGGAAAAAGTAGAATAGAACGATCTTCGCATGCTCAAGCTGCAATTATACAGAACCTTGGTGAGTCTAAACCTTGAGTACTGCATGCAGTTTTGGTCTGCTAGTGTCAGGAAAGACATTCTTGCTGTTGGGGGGAATCCAGTGAAGGTTCACCAGACTGATTCCCCGGATGGCAGGATGGACAAATGAAGAAAGACTTGATCAACTGGGCTTGTACTCATTGGAATTTAGAAGAATGAAGGGGCGCAGGGAGGATCTCACAGAAACATATAAAACCTTGATTAGGCTGGACAGGCTAGATGCGGGAAGAATGTTCCCGATGTTGGGGAAGTCCAGAACTAAGGGTCACAGTCTAAGAATAAGGCGTAGGCCATTCATGACTGAGACGAGGAAGAATTTCTTCACTCAGTTATGAACCTGTAGAATTCTCTACCATAGAAAGCTATTGGAGCCAGTTCTAGTTTGTTAGATATATTCAAGAGGGAGCTGAATATGGCCTTCGTGGCTAAAAGGATCAAGGGATATGGAGAGAAAGCGGGAGTGGGATACTGAAATTGTGTGATCAGCCATGATCATACTGAATGGTGGTGCAGGCTTGAAGGGCCAAATGGCCTAATCCTGCACCTATTTTCTATGCATTTCACACATAATCCAATAGGGGAGGTGTTTGGGGAAACCTAGAGCCCTGTTACTTCAACTGTAGCATGATGCAGTGTGATCAGCACAAAGTGGTTGTGACACTGAGGTTCAACTCCCTGTGCTATGTATCACACTCACAAGCATCAGGACCCTTTCAAATGGCAACTACAAATATTTCATTCAATGTTCAGCACTCACTGTTTTTGCTGCCATGTTGCTGATAGCTATGGTTTCAACACCTGATTCCAATTGGTCAGCTGTCAAAGAGCCACAAGGGGAACTGAAGCTCTCACTCCCTATTCTTGCACTTTGTTCCTTCACGATCTGACAATGAAAAATAGGTAAATGAAGTTTCATTTGTAATAAAAATTTAAAAGTCTTTTCACACCCGGCGTTTTCTCTGAGTCTTTCTGCTCATTGATGACACAGGTTTTTATTGCTGGGACTGGTATCTTAAACTATTTTAGACCCCAATGTCAGCATCATTGCTTACTACATCAGGTACAGTATTTCAGCTGAGAATAATGTTCCCTCTCATTACTACTGTAACCATCCCAATTTTTAAAAGAGCACTTCAGAATTATAGCAATGTGACAGTGATGTGAGAGAACCAAAGAAGGTATGACAACATTAAAAAAAATTAGAAAACTTGATTTTACAAAGGGCATTTCTTTGCAAGTATCACTTGCAAGGCCAGCATTTGTTGTCCTTGAGGGGGCGCCGCACTGTCGGAGGGTCGGTGCCGAGGGGGCGCCGCACTGTCGGAGGGTCGGTGCCGAGGGGGCGCCGCACTGTCGGAGGGTACCAATGACGGTTGGGGACTTACTGTTCGAACACTCACCTCCCGCCTTACGCGGACTACTCTCTGCGCATGCCCTATCACCGAACTCAATGCGCACGCGCCTGACCCGCCGAGTCTTCTGGATGTTGTAGTCGGTCGCGATTCATACGCATGCGCAGTGGCGCTGTTGTGCTGAATATGGAAACTCATCAGCATCACTGCTTTAACATGCTTAGGACCTACTCACCACATCTCCATTAAGGGCTTTTATAATTAGTATGTGGGAAACTCTGAGTAAAGCAAGCTCCTAGCAGCAATAAGATGTTAATAGTTATTCACAGATAGTGGGGACTGCCAATGCTGGAGAATCTGAGATAACAAGGTGTAGAGCTGGATGAACACAGCAGGCCAAGCAGCATCAGAGGAGCAGGAAGGCTGACGTTTCGGGCCTAGACCCTTCTTCAGAAATCTCTGAAGAGATCTCTGAACATTTCTGAAGAACGGTCTAGGCCTGAAACGTCAGCCTTCCTGCTCGGTCTGCTGTGTTCATCCAGCTCTACACATTGTTATCTCAGATAAAGGAGCAGATAGGTGGAGAGGAGACAGACAGGTCAAAGAGGGGGGATGGAACCAGTAAAGATGAATGTAGGTTTGGAGTTAGGGAGGGGATAGGTCAGTCCAGGGTGGATGGACAGGTCAAGGGGGCGGGATGAGGCTAGTAGGTAGGAGATGGGGGTGGGGCTTGAGGTGGGCGGAGGGGATAGGTGGGAGGAAGAACAGGTTAGGGAGGCGGGGACGAGCTGGGCTGGTTTTAGGATGCGGTAGGGGGAGGGGAGATTTTGAAGCTTGTGAAGTCCACATTGATACCATTGGGCTGCAGGGTTCCCAAGCGGAATATGAGTTGCTGTTCCTGCAACTTTCGGGTGGCATCGTTGTGGCACTGCAGGAGGCCCAGGATGGACATGTCGTCCAAGGAGTGGGAGAGTGAGTTGAAGTGATTCGCGTCTGGGAGGTGCAGTCGTTTGTCACAAACCGAGCATAGGTGTTCCACAAAGCGGTCCCCAAGCCTCTGCTTGGTTTCCCCGATGAACAGGAGGCCACATCGGGAACAGCGGATACAGTATACCACATTAGCAGATGTGCAGGTGAACATCTGTTTGATGTGGAAGGTCTTCTTGGGGCCTGGGATGGGGGTGAGGGGGGAGGTGTAGGAGCAGGTGTAGCACATCCTGCGGTTGCAGGGAAAAGTGCTGGGGCTGGTGGGGAGTGTGGAGCAGACAAGGGAGTCACGGACAGAGTGGTCCCTCCGGAAAGCAGATAAGGGTGGGGAGAAAAAAATGTCTTTGGTCGTGGGGTCAGATTGCAGATGGCGGAAGTGCCGGAGGATGATCCATTGGATCCAGAGGTTGTTGGGGTGGTATGCGAGGACGAGGGGGATTCTGTTTCGTTGTTATTGCGGGGAGGGGATGTGAGGGATGAGTTGCGGGAAATGCGAGAAATACGATCAAGGGCATTTTTGACCACTGTGTAGGGGAAGTTGCAGTCCTTGAAAAACGAGGACATCTGGGACATCCCAGGATATTGTGGAGAATGACACAGCTCTTCAGAAAGGACATCGACATCTTTTACATCAACATGAACAAGCTGAAAGGGCATGAGTGTAACACCTTCCAAAGGATATGCAAACAAAACAAAAGAATGGTACAAATCCTGTTGCCTGTTCCGCTATTGCACAAGATCATTGATAGATTTATGATTACCAGTGGTATAGGGAGTTATGGGGATGAGGTGGATAAAAAGCATTCAAGTGTTTAACCAGCCATGATCATATTGAATGCTGAGCTGAATATCCTACTCCTGTTCCTATGTGTTCCTTCAAATTTAGATGGTCCAAGAATGATTTGATTGAAAATTTCAGGATAGGAAGGAGGATAGATAGGGTAAATAAACAGAAACTATTTCAGCTGCAACAAAAATAAAGTTGCTGGAAAAGCTCAGCAGGTCTGGCAGCATCTGTGAAGGAAAAAGCAGAGTTAACGCCTCTCTGCTCCTATGATGCTGCTTGGCCTGCTGTGTTCATCCAGCCCTGCACCTTGTTGTCTCGGATTCTCCAGCATCTGCAGTTCCTACTATCTCTGAGTTAACGTTTCAGGTCTGGTGACCCTTCCTCAGAACCAGGGCTTTTCCAGCAACTTTATTTTTGTTGCAGCTGAAATAGTTTCTGCCTATTTACCCTATCTAAAAGGTTCCTAATTTATCTCTTGAATATTCTGGTTCTAGCTTTAGATTCTGCCCTAGATTCCCAACCAGCTGAAATAGATAATAAAAACTGAAAGAACTGCGTATGGTGTAAATTAGGAACAAAAACAAAGTTGCTGGAAAAGCTCAGCAGGTCTGGCAGCATCTGTGAAGGAAAAAACAGAGTTAACGTTTCGGGTCCAGTGACCCTTGCTCAGAACCACGGTTTTTCCAGCAACTTCGTTTTTGTTCCTAATTTACAGCATCCACAGTTATTGCGGTTTTTATTAACTATTTCAGCTGGTTGGGAATCTAGGGCAGAATCTAAAAACTAGAACCAGAATATTCAAGAATGAAATTAGGAACCTTTTACACACAAAGTTTGGTATAAGTTTTGAATTTTCTTCCTCAAATGGCAATTGGACATATATCAATTGATTATTTCAAATCTGAGGTTAATAGACTTTCATTATTGGGTGAGAAGGGTCAAAACAGGTATGTCCAAATAGGTCATAGGTCAGTCATAATCTTACTGCATGATGGGATATGCTTGAGATGCCAAGTGACCTGCTCCTATACCTTTGGGAATTGATTAGTGTCCCTATTGTAAATTGGAAACTTGACAAATTCCAAGTTTGCCATTACTTTTTGACTGACAACTTTTACTTACTAGTAACCCCAATACCAGTAAGTAAAAGTTCAGTCTTTGTGTCCCATCACTTTCTGTAGGAACTTGTGTCATGAATTAGATAGAGATAGTAAGAACTGCTGATGTTGGAGTCAGAGATAACACAGTGTGGGGCTGGAGGAACACAGTAGGTCAGGCAGCATCTGAGGAGTAGGCGATGCTGCCTGACCTGCTGTCTTATCTCATGGATTAGTTACACTCAGTACCTTCATTTAAATCATTAATCTCAACTGTAAATAATGAGGACCCAGTACTGGCCCTGCCATATTTAGTCACAGTTAACAACCAGAACAGTAGAATTAACCTTTAATCTTATTTGCTGTCTTCTGTCCTTTGACCCACCTATCTTTCGCTGCCTTTCTTCATTGTAATGCTGTCTTAGTACTGACCCTCCAACTGAGCAGCACTCCCTCAGTACTGACTCTCCAACAGTGCAGCACTCCGTCAGAACTGACTCTGCAACTCTGCTGTAGGATTTTGTGCTAAAGCCCTTAAGTGAGACCTGAATTCAGGTGCTCTCATTGGAGTGACAGTTTTGAGAGTTTGTTTAGCCTTCTCCTGTTCCCATGTCTGTTGCAGATTGAACTTCAATATTTTTTTTCAAGAATCAACTTCAGAAAGAGGTGAACAGCTTTTAATGAATTCAACAATTTTTGTTTTAATTGTTCTGTTCTGTGCACAGCCTTAAGAAATGTGAAATACTTAGCACATGCCTCACCCTGCCCTGCGATGCTGATGTTGCTATGATGAGTGATATGCCACAGAATGCTGTGCCTGAGGGAAATGCTGAATGTTTTGTGTTGTGTGCATTCAGTGTGTGATGTTAGGGCAGCTCACTGCTTTGCTCTCACCTGGCGCTCCAGTGAATCATCCTGAGGGTATGCTGCAGGTGTCTGACAGATTGAATGTTGGCATGTTTTCTCTTGCTACTTAGTGCTTTGATATATGAAGCAGGTTTAATTCTGGTGATGATCACTGGGTTTTAGAGAAGCCTCAATATAATCTTTCTTCTAGATATTTATCTCATTATCTCCCTCTTAATGCTTTCATTCTATTCTTTTGTTCCTGTCACTCTGATTTTAACCTCCAGCCTATTGCAGAGAGAAAGCAGCCAGAGTTTAACCAATGTGTGACCACAAACTGACCCCATTGCAGCTGAGAGAGTTGTTTAATCTTGGAATGTGTGTTCTCCACCCTCATTCTCTCCCCTTGATCTCTAGATTACTGAATCATACCTTACAGACAATGTCCCAGACATTACTATAGCAGCCCTAGTTATGTCCTGTTCCACTGGCAGGACAGACCCAGCAGAGGTGGTGGTACAATGGTGTACAGTCCAGAAGGAGTTGTTAAAATGAGAGACAACTTCCCAGCCTCGTGGCGAGGCCAAGTACAGAAAGCTCCTGAGGGCTCTCAAGAACATGAGAAATGGGAGCAAGATTCGACCCTGCTCCCTCACTTAATATGATCATAGTTGATCTTGGTCTTCAACTCCACTTTACTGCTCATTTCCCATATCCTCATGATTCCCAGAGAGACCAATAATTGTCTCCGTCAGCCTTAAATATATTCAATGAAGGAACATCTTCTGGGATAGAGAATTCCAAAGATTTATAA